GTTCCGTTTGGCCAAGGCTTCGCAGATGGAAATTCGATCCATAATGTTTTCTTCCGTCAATTCATGTGGCACCCAAACATCAAGCTTCTTTTTGAATCCAGCTTTATTCAGATGGTTTAGAACTGTTTTATGGTCAATCTTTAGCTCCTGGGCAATGCTACGAGTGCTAACGTGCCAGTCTACTTCTATCATTTCCATGATTTTATTGACATTTTCGACAACGGGCCTACCTGTGCGAGGTGCATCTTTAACATCGAAATTACCAGAACGGAACTGACGAAACCAAAATTGCACATAATTGGCTGTGACAGTATCAGGACCATAAACACCATTCACAATTTCAGCTGCCTGGCTTGCATTTTCGCCTTTATTGAAGCAAAATTGTAAAACATACCTAATTTTCTCTTTGTTAACTTCCATCTTTTACACCCTATAACTCACAACTGAATTGACCAATCAAAAAACTGTAAAAGAATTTTTTTTAGTACAGAATGTCACTTTTCCAATAAGCACAAGTCTGAACTTGTGTCATCAATATTTTATGAGATATGTATCACTACAGCCATCTAGTGACAAAATAATGGATTTCTTTTTCCCCAACCTAAAATATCTTTCATGTATTGTCATCTTATTTTGTAAAAGTTCCCTCCCCCCATTGTCACTATTCCATTTTTCTACATGAATTATTTTTCTAAATTTTTTTACATTATATACATTATTCTTCTAAGATGAGATATATTCTTAAAATTAAACTGGATATATATTAATATTTATCATTCAAGTCTTATGTATCTTCATAATCAACACAAATCATTAGTGACTAGAAAAAGAAATCTTCAATCCTTTTCAGATTTAATTACTTAACTTAAATGCTTGTTATTTGCACTTTTTCTCAAATGAAATGATTAATAAATATCTGATTTCAAATTATTACAAGAGCATCAATGCTACTGAATTTTCTGACAATACTTTTAAATGATTAAAAACAATTAATTTCATGTTTAAATTTTATAACAATTTTCATGATAGAAAAGAACATTAGTTTCTTTTTAAATATTCTATATTTACATTTAACATAAATTATAAAACATTAAATAGGAAAATATTAATCTTCTGAAAATATCCTATTTGTTCAAAACTTTCTAATTAATTAAAATTTAATTTAATATTAGTTTTTACTCTTTTTAGAAGCTTGATAATATCTGAAACTTAGTACCGTTAAAGATAAAATTAAATTCTAAATATATTTTGTCAAAATTCCATAGACTAGAACTGAACTAATTAAATTAATTAATGATTTGCAGATTTGGTTCATAAGTAATGTATTGACATCTGTTAATAATAATAATTACTATTAATATCAACAGATGGCAACATATCTATAGTCCATATTTATACACTTGCAATTTAATTAACCAATTATAACATGAAATTTTTGTGTAATTATTTATATTTGATGATTACCATTTTACATATACTGAATAAAATTTGTTGTTATATCCTGATCCCACTATTATTGGTAGAATGAGAACAAAGAACTAGGATATTATTGTCATAGATGTTATGAAGATAGAAATGTAGCTAGCAAAACAAGAATGTAACCTGTATGGCTAGATAAAATAGCTGATAAAGTATCTATCCAATTTGTAAGAATTTCTGGCTTAAATTCTAGTTCAATCTTTCCTCTAGACACTTTTAAAATTAATTCTAATAACTAAAATTTATACAAAATAGTAATACAGTCTACTTCTAGGCCAAACTGTCAATCTCTAAAATTAAAGTAACACAAAAAAATCCAGCAATATTTAATTATTTGATCTGGTTACTGTAATATAAAAAATTATCAGGCAATTATTATTACTTGCTATTGTAATTAATGTATTTTGTGAAGTGTATTTTTAGTAAATTTGATGATGAAAATAAATCACATAAATCAATTATCAAATATACTATAACATGATATCAAATATTTATAAAATAAAATAATAAAAATGAAATATTATGCATTTTACATTCTATTGTGGCATTACACTATATTCTGCTGCATGCTGTTCTTTTACAATTGAAATATATTTATCAACAATTCAATGAATCTTCCAAAACCAAAAAATTATCAAATTAACAGAATCTAAAATAATTAAAATTTAAAAAAAAATTTACAATGATAACATCATAAATAACACAAATATAGATTATTATTATTATAAGAAAAAATTTACTTAATGCTAGCTAAATATTTTACTCTTAAAAAATGTCATGAAAACTTAAACACCAAATTTTTTCAAGTGTTTGGATTTTCTTCAAATGTTATTTTTTTAAATTAATATACAGTGAAAACTTTTCAAGAAAGTTATTTTACATATATTCATAATTGAATACATTCAAAAAATATTTTATTTATTACTGTCAAATATTGATTTGTAGTTTTTCCATTATCATCAGCCAAGCCCATTCATCCTACTGATTTCAGTCATTGTCACTATGATTGCTTTTATAAATGTGATGTGAAAATAGATACAGGAAATGGATTATCATTCATAATGTCATAAACTGTATTTTTGAAACATATCAGCATACCATATAATTTTTTAAATCATATATGAAGAGTTGCTACTATAAAGAAGCTAATAATCAAAATTATAAATTGTTAATTATGCATTAATTACAGTTAATGTAGAATGGTTGGAATATTAGATAAGATACACACAAAACTAATTTAATTTTGTATATCTCTTACCTACAATAGTGAGTTATAAACTATTAAAACAAACTAAAAGAATAGAACAAAAAACAGAATATAAGAAAAAAATGTAAGGAAATTTACACGTATGATACGACATAAATTTAAAATTACAGAAAATTATTAAAATAATTTTTGAATGTATTATGCTAAAATATAGTCATGTTCCTCATTTTACCAAAAACAAGATTAAACAACTATAAAAATGTTTATATCATTTTCATAAAAGCATCTTTCAGAGAAAAACTTTAAATTAACAATATCCTTGCAATTATTATTATTATTAAAAATAAATTTTTACTCTATTATTAAATAATTATATATATATATTGAAAGCTTCATATGTAATATATAAAGTTTTCAATATATTTAATGTANATTTTTTTATTTAGAATTTATATTATATATTAAATGATATTCCTTATAAGAATTATTAAGTGTCCTCATCAGATTTTCATGATTTTTACATGTTGCAAAACAGCAAAAAACATTTTAAGGGTTCCAATCAGCCCTCAAGGTTGGACGTGTTGAATAATGATTTTACAGTCTCATTTAGAAACACTTATCTAATACAAAATAATAATGAAAAAAATATTTTCATAATTATTTTTTGAAATAATTTTTAGAGCAGATCAAAAGCTACATTTAAGAGAATAAATCCTATGACACTATATGGTATGCAATCATATTAGAAATTCTTATTTTATTTTGATAAAACCAAAATCATGTAATTGTTTTCATGATTCAAGAATTTTGAAATCTATAAAAAAAAATGTTATTTGTACTTTAAATGGGCATTTGTTTTTTTAAGGAAAGTAATTGTTCCCATGTACAGTACATTACACAGAATACAATAAAATGCTGAAGAGATGATTAAGCACATGAAATGGCTTGTTGAAGGATTCGTAAGAAATAAAATTTCTACTATGATTAAAATATAATTTTACAAAGTCTTGTTAATAATTGAAAGTGTGATAACTGGATGGTTGAGGCAGCTAAGGTATCAGCCAACTGCTCTGAGTGATCTAGGATTGAATCTGGGCAGTCAAAAAATCCTGGGAATCTTTTGAGGTGGTCTATCCTCTTCACCCATGCTGGGAACATAGTGATTGCATGTAGATGTACACAAATGTGGTGCCTGAAGTTCAGCAGACTGTCAGACCATAAAGCACAAAAAACCAGTTTTAATCAGTGTTCATTTTAAAAAAATATTTACATGAAGCCAGAAATGACTCCAATGAATTCTTTAATTAATTAATTTGCTTTAATAGAAGTGAGTAAAATATTCAGTTTAAGCTTTTGAGTTGTGTCATTAAGTAACAAATTGAGTCTAAACAGTAACTCAAATAATACAACAATTTCTGGATTAATTTCAAATATAATCTACTGTTATTAAAAACTGCTTTATAAATTATTTTATTTTTAAACGAAAATAAAAGTTCTAATATGATTTGAATAATATTTAATACCAAAAAATAGCATTATTACATAAGAATATAAAGAAAATGTTAAATACTTTGTAAAATTGATAAATTCTAACATCTGATGATGTCACTTAAATATTTACTCTAAATTTGCCATTTGCAAGTTGTAGAATAAATATTTTATTTTCAGCTAGCCATAGCAATACTAAGAAATTTGAGCTGTTGACATTGTCCCTTATATATTGCAACCATACTCCAATATTTGCAGTCCCACATTTGACAAATAATCTATCTTGATTTCCTTATTTTCATGTGAATCAATTGAAATTTGATAAAGCAAATTCTTCTATAAAACTTTCCTGCATCAAGAGATTATAACTAACAAATTAAATATTTTTGATTGTGTACAAACTTTAAATGCATACCTTGTAAGTAAATAGAAGAAAATTGGAATTAAAATTTTAAACATTACAAATAATATTAACTAAGTAATATATATTTTAAACGTTTTAAGAAAAGTAAAATTTTGTAAATTAGAGATTAAATCTAAATTTGATCTAGAAAATATATCTCACATAATAATTTTAATATATAATAGAAGATAATATTCACATCATGTTTTACTAAACTGTTCAGCATCTTGACATCGTATAGATGAAAAGAACAAATTGGTCAGCATTAATGAATGCTTTTAGCATCAATAGTGAATTTCTCAATAATTGATGTGTATTCAAAACAGTAGTTAAACAAACTACTAATAAGCATCATTTAATCTGTAGTTTTAATCTTAAATTCAGGAAACTTTGAAATATGAAACTTACACTATAAATAATCAAATTGACTGGAATATTTACAACCTGTGGAAAGATTTTGAACAACAACAGCTGTGCGAAAATGATTGATTACAGGAAGTTTTTTTGTTTGTTAACAAATAATACCAGAATAATAAAAATTCTGGAGTTTGTCTAATAATGAGCTTTTTATTATGCTAAATAGCACACTGCAAAAGTAGTTTGGAATATAAAGAAAATCTTGTCCAAATCCTAGTTTGGAAAAAGTTTTTGAACATAGAAAAAATGTATTAAAGCACTTTCTGTAATGATAATCACACATTAATTTTTGCAACTTAGTTGTCTGAAAGTATGGTCTGCATGTATTAGCATTATTGTTGCCTTTACATTGATCTAAAATGTGCCCTGTTAAAGAATACTGAGGATTTTTGAAACAAAATTGTAACTTTGATTTTGGAAGGAAAAACTCAGAAGTTTTCGATAGCTTGGTCATGCTGTTTCAACAGTAAATTACATGTGGAAGAAATGTGAAAGCATAAAAACATCGAAGAGAACTGGCTGATCAAGAGCAGCAAGCAAGAATCAAGATCATGCCTTAAGATGCATCTGTCTACAAAATCAGAAAGCCACATCAAAAGAATTAAATGTTTAAGTGGGAAGTTCACCATGCCAATGTTTGCAATTGTACAGTTTGAA